TTCTTTTGAATTATTCTGTGATCATATTGTGATTTTGTTCAATAAAATATAAGAATTTCTAGTTTAGAGCTTTATTTCAGAGATAGTTCGTTTATGTTTTATCTCCTCATTTATTTTCGTTGCATGTAACATGCAGTCGTCGTTGGGGTGAGGGTATGAGCAGTGCTCGAAGTAGAGAGTAACGCGGGGGTACACCCCCCTCTTCTCTAATTTGGCATTTCGCGTACCACCACTCCTGAATTCCCACTTCGAGCAATGGGTATGAACAACGCTGTTTTATGAAACATTAACCCCGTCAACAAAGCTGATCACTTGTCTCCAACTAGTATATCGCCTACAGGCATCATGATATTTCATTGAGACAGTTTATCTTTTGCATTCCCATCGAAAACATGGCTAAAATAAGCTATTTCCCCAGCTGAAAACGAAGTAATTATACGTGTAATTCGAAAAAGAAAAAAATATTAGGCATTTCACAAAACGTTTTGTTAGATGAAACCGACAGATTTTCACTTAAGATTTGAAACTCCACGAACATCAGGCTTCGCTTTAGAAAGGTGTTTATGTGAATGAATGTTTAAATATAATTCATATATATCAACGTAAAGTTTTGTCTATCAACTATTATCAAGATTTAAGATAACCTCACTATCTATATATTTGTTACTGTCAGTTTGAATGACACTAAAGAACCAGTAATTGAAGAACAAAATGTCGTAATGGCAACGATTCTGATCTGTTTCTTTAAGCACAAAACTACACAATGGGCTATCTGTGATGTGCCCTGTATGAGTATCAAGACTTATTGCTGAGCCACTGGTGGCCGATATTGGTCTAAATGGACTTACTGGAACTGTTTACATTGCTCATTTCATCACAGAAGTGAGGAGGTTATTTCTTCATTTGTTCAAAGAACAGCACATGCGTAATTCACCATGAACTTCATCGAGGACTAAAAAGTATTTCTACATTCAAATGTAAATGTGGTGAGAATATTACGATTCAAACAGACGGTGCACCAGAAGAAAAACATCACGATATCATTGTTGGGATTTCACTGTCTGAGGGCATTCACAATTAGAAGTGTGCTCCATCATGAGCAGACCCTGCTTGAATTTCAATGTTTTTCGAAAGTGTGAAAAGTTGAAGTAAACAAGTAATGGCGTACACATATCTCATTAGCGTTTTATAAAGTTTATTTATATTTCTTAATATACGGAAATTATATTACGATATTTGCAGCTTTCTGTTAACCATAATCCAAACATGTGCTCTTATAAGGCTGGTTTCATACTGTTAAATTTTATTTTTACCCTTGCGAATGTTTTAGTATATACACCGTATTTTCAACCATGTCAAAGGTTCCGAGTTATTTTGTTCCGGTTAAAGCATATGATATGTTTGATATAAAATAAATATTATATCATTATTACGTCTAATTTACTGTATTACTTCCGTACAAATTTAGTTTTATTAAAGAACATTTTAACAACAAATATTAACTTTAAAACTTGTATATTTCATGTATTAGATAAACGATCATTATTTTGTTTTATTCAAAGCGTTTTGTAGAATCGCCTGACAAATCGCAAACATATCTGTATTTATTATTGCAGGCGAGAGTTAATTATGTCAAACAAAACGAAAGGGGAAGCATATTCTAGAAGGTCTCGAAAAAAACGTGTACATGTGTACCGTAGTGGGAGGCATGTAATCAGTAAAATGTGCATGGAACAGCTATCAAGTGTCTCAGGAATGTCTCATAAGATGATCACACTGTCCAGTGAAGGGGATGTCGCAAGAAGGTTGAATTTCCAGAAAATCTTACTTGTTTTGAATTTCACGCGAAGCTACACGAGGGCTATCTGCACTAACCATTCCTAATTTAGCAGTGACAAACTAGAGGGAAGGCAGATAGTCATCACCACCCACCGTCAATTATTGGGCTACTCTTTTATCAACAAATAGGGGGAATGAACGTCATATTATAACGCCCCCAAGGATAAAAATGTCGAGCATGTTTGGTGATGGGGATTCGAACCCACAACCTTAACCACCAGGCCTTCCAGAATGTTGTCGAAGAATTGGTAGTAAGAGCAATTAGAAAGTAACTTGTTACACTTTAATAACTACATAAAAAATATATGGATGCGGAAATGTGTGCTTCTCAGTACGTATCACAATTCTCCAGCTTTCAAAACAAACGTATGTATTGAAATGGGCTTTGGTTAAATGCCTTGCAGGGAGCGTAGAAGTGTGTCACAACAGCCATGTTATATCTTATACCGTTTATATAATTTCATTTCTGTCAGAGATGTTTTTCATTTTGTTTTACATATTTTAAATTTTTTCAATAAAACCACAATTTTGTTCACATTAGTGCTCCAAGGGTTATCGACACGACGAACTTGTCACTTTTGCTGGTAATCACTTTTATATCGGGCGTTATCTTATGAAAATATATAATATAGCATTGTTCGTAGATAAAAAGAAAAGCTTAACATGAACTGTAGTGCACTCTACTGTACTCTCATCGCATATGTAAACATAAATACTTTGTACTCAAAGTACAATATTTTATTAAGGTGTTAAAATTTACTGATGTATGGAGGGAAGAATAAGAAATCATTTATATATGTTTGACAGAAAGCCTTTAATAAACCAATAAAATAGTTTTATAGCAAAGCCACATTGGGCTGTCTGCTGTGTCCACGCGGGGAGTTTAACCCCGGATTTTAGCGCTGTAATTCGTACACGTACCGTTGTCCAACCGGGAAGAGGGGGTGAGAGTTAAAGTATGTTTGTTTTCGCGCAAAGCTACACTAGCGCTATCTGCGCTAGCCGTCCCTAATTTAGAAGTGTAGCGAATAGTGATATTGACCGTGACATTATAACGCCCCCACGGCTGAAAGGGCGAGCAAGTTTGGTGAGAAGGCCTTCCATTCACTACCAGGGCTCATCAGGTTGTATGAGGATACGACAGAGATGGTAGTGATCAAGATACTATCTATATCATCAATTACTTGAACAATTGTTTCAAAATATGTGAAAGACAGTGGAAAAACATAACTGAGAATATGATAATTAACAAAACATTAATGATTATCAGTTATTCAGTTAGCAATTAAACCAATACACCAGTTAAACATGACGAATATAACTAAATACTTCAGGGCAAAATGCACAAGCAGAAGAACAACTTCAAAGTGAATAATTTCTCTGAAGAAAGAAAAAAAAGACAGAAACTCTTAAAGTAGTAAACACAGGACGTAAAACGAAATTTACAAGCTGTAAAGGAAATAGACGATATAAAGTAAAATAAGTAAAGAAAAAAAATATAAACAATTTTTTGGACCTTGAAAACCAGAAATATGACGAAAAGTGAATCAGGATGTTTCTTTGTGTTGTTACGCACAAAGCTACACAATGGACTATCTTTGCTCTACCCACTGCGAGTATCGAAATACAATTTATAGCGTTAGGAGTCTTTAGTCTCGCCGCTAAGCCGCCGGAGGATCAAACCAGTGAATGGTCAAAGAATAATATCACTGACTATATATACACACGCACACATTTTTTACAAGGAAAGATTTAAACATTTTAATGTTAAGCTAACCCATGATATTTGTATTTCAGAATGATGATTTTATTAATATATTTATAGATCGAGATTTTCATGACTAAAACTGACAATCTGAAATGAGACGAATCCCCTAGTTTTGTTTAATTTGTCCAATATTTTATTTAGCGTTTTAACTAAATTTAAAATGATAGATGTGCCATTTATTTTCATCAATCGATTACAAACAATAGAACTTATACTTATGACACATTAATGAAAATAACGAACATTTTAAATGGTAGTTTACATTAATGTTCGTGTGTGTGTGTTCAATTGATTAAAGATAAGAAAATGAAACGGTAGAAAAAGATGTAGTTAAGCACAAAGCTACACAGTGAGCTATCCGTGCTCTGCGCACCACGGGTATCGAAACCCAGTTTTTAGTGTTATATAAAATCTACAAAGATACCACTGTAGCCAGCTTGTGTATATCTGAAAATAGGAACCGACAGCCGCCTGGATGGGTACCTGTTTTAACCACTCGCACCATTGTATAGTAATGCGTTGTCTATCAATCAGTCTGTAGACACTAAAATGACGTTACATAAGGGATGCTTAACGTTGTAATGTGTACTGTAGTGACGTCAGTAAAACGTGCGCATGCCATAAATTGATAGCAGCACATAACTTTGTTTCTATCTTTACATATAGCACTTAATAAACCATAAAATAAGATGAACTTAAACCCAAAGCTGTAAACATTTGAAAATTAGAATACTAGGTTATTATAGGCTAGAGCGTAACACTTGTAGTTCCACACCTAGGTTTGGGGTTTGTTTAGCGCAAAGCCACACGTTCTTCACGCTTTCCACCGCGGAGGATCGAACCACGAATTTAAGGATTTTAAGCTCGTAAACTTATCACCCAGAGATGACGTCACATAGGACTATGCAATAACATTCTTCAGTTCAGGAAAATATAATATCAATCAATAAAAATATTTTATGGTTGCACTAAATGCATCATAGAACACAGAAAATGTAACCGTCTACAGTAGTGTAAGAAGATTCTAAGTTAATAAAATCCACACTGCTTTCTCAATTCCTTCAGAAAACTAAATATGGGTGTTTGAATTCATAAAATGTTTAACACGGCTGTAGGTAAAAATGTTTTAAGTAAGGGAATCTTTCAGTAATCTAAGGCTTTACATTCTTAGGCTTTACATTCTTTTTTTTTATTATTTCTTTAAAATGTTATGTTTATATATCTCCTAGGAATGTTTACATTTATTCCAGCAGTATTACAGCGCCATCTAGAAGCAGAAATAAATATAGCTAAAGCTCATTCAAATCATTGATAAACACGTAAACATGTGCATTAAAAGTACAAGTACCAAACTTTGGTCGATTCAGACAAAAACCACCAATAAAACCATAAGTAAGTCTATGCTATTTTTTATTAAAATTTGAACAGTTGCTGAAGAATATTGCAGTTAGTCTGGAACAAGAAAATGTATTAAGTGTGACTTAAGAAAGAGAAAACTGATACAAGATATATTTTGTAAGAATACATTGTAATTTTAGAACATTAAGTTGTTCACAACTTGCCTCTTCTTTTGAGCAGTTGCTAAGTAACTCTATAACACTAGTGTTTTAACGAGACACTCCTATAAAGTAATATGTGAAAGTAGCATAACTTAAGTTCCAATTTGTACAGCATCTAATGTTGTGCAAGTGAAGAAAGGAACTTTGAAGTATGATATCTGTTGAAATTACAAATAACTACACACTTAACTATGGTTATTACAGCAGCAACATTACTTTCTCTGACACAGTTAGTGGTTCTTAGCCAGGGGGCCAAATCATCTGTCGACCTCCCAGAACATGCACATGGAGATGAAAGACTTCTTGTCCTCCATGTAGGCCATCATTAATCACTACACGATATCCATTATTAAGTCCGAGGTCCTTGGCCACTTTCTGGGCAATAAACAGCAAATGTCCTAGTAGCTACAAAAGAAAAACTTTAAAATGAAAATGCTCAGTTACAAAATTAGTGAACAATAATTAATATCTTACACACATAAACAAACATTCAAGAACACAGAAAGATTAATTACACAAAGTAACTTCTCACAAATTTAGGACATTTTCATAATGTTTGTAATTTCAACATATCATGACAATTTTTAAGTTAGGTAGTTTCTTGAAAAAAAAGTTTCCTTCCTTGGAAAGTTCTGTTGAACTTCTTACTTATCAACCAATACGTGTAAAATTTTAATTAACGGTACTACATGTAAAAAACTATAGAAATGTAATTCATGTAAAAAGCAATATATAAGTATACTACATATACAAAACAAGGTGACTGTTTTTAGATGCATATCTCTAGACCTTTTCAAATATTTTATTTATTTTCTGGGTTATTTGTAAATGTAGAAGAAATTGAGTTTTCAAAGTGTTTTTTTTTTTTTATGAGCTAGCATAAACCCAAAAATTTGTGAATTATTAAACCACTCTTTGGCATTAACATTTTAATGTTGGTGTTACGCCTGGTAAATGGTTTGGAATTTTAAGCACACTATTCTTTTTCTCCTGTTATTACAAGATAGATGGTCACTTGGGAATAAGACCTAAACCACAAAAATCTGAAGTGACTGAGCACATCTTTATATTACACATGTCGTTGTATACAAAGCCATGAGAAATAAATCAAGCTAACTCTGTAAAATATTAAAGGTAATACTAACTCATACACACACACATACACAATTCTGACTTGTACAGTATCACATAACAAGTATTTAAAAGAAATTATTTTTAAGAAATCCATGAACCTTGTTACACATGTTCAAATGTGGTTAACAAGTCTAGTTCTAGGAAAAGCCTTCACATGAACAAACAGTTGCACTGACATAAAAAATAATTAATACATTTCTACAGCCATATGGCAAGTTAGTTTATTATAGTACTGTCAGAAAATCTCAATATTTCATCCTCATAAAGTTGGGGACAAGTCAGTCTACATTATTAGATAAATATGGTAATTACAACTCAGTGGTTTCTCCAAGACTTTTAGGTTGTGTAAATGTACATTTATATCTAGACAATGGTAAAAGCCTGAAAGATGATTGTGGAAAGTTCTCACAAATAAATTTCTTATCAAGTGTTGATGGTAACATGTGGCAGTAATAAAAAGTAAGACAAAGTTCTGTGGAAATCACTCACAGTTCTCATAGATAAATATCTTACAAAGTGTTGATGCTAGCATGTGGCAGCAATAAAAAGTAAGAACATTTCAGTGGAAATCACTCACAGTTCTTATACATAAATATCAAGTACCATATGTGTATGATGTAATATGTTCAATTTCAGTATGTCTCCAAGGTACATCACACTAAGAACATATTTTCAGATGATAGGGAACTAGATATGTTTAGTTGAGTAAGAATTCTGGGTAAAAATTTGTTTTATGGAGATCATGTGTTAATTTTAAGGAGCAGAATTGTTTTTTTATAATGTTTTGATGGTTTGATGAAACAAATTACACAATACAAAAGAAGGCTGACAACATAAAAAACTTAATAGGAACTAAATAAAACAGAACAAACAGTGTGGGTAAGCTTATGGAAATAGCATCCAGCTACTTTACAGAATACAGAGAAAGCAACAAAAATAATGAATACAGAAAGAAAAAGATGTCAGCTCCAGTTTGAATCTCTTGGAGAGAAATCCCTTGTTTTTATTATATAAATATTTCATGTATCACTTGAGATACAGATGCTCATAATGAATATGAAACACAAAAAAAGTAAGTTTTTTGTATTCCTTTTTTTTTTATTCAATTCACAAGCTTTTGGTACAATTTCAGCAATTGTCTTCGGGTATTTTCATTGCTGCTGCAATCATGACCAAAAGACTTGTTTCAGTGGTTACTTAAGTAATATTAAGATCATGCTTGGCATAGTTTCAATAAATTCCAATGATTTGTTTTTATACTAAAAGAAAAGTGCAAATTTAACAGATATATTGTGTTCAATTTTACACAAACTCAGAAAGTTTTAAAAAGTAAAATTTACTTGAAGAGAAAAGCTAAATCCAATGACTTAAAACAGTGAGAAAAATAAAAGGATAAAACAAACGTGATTTAATTCCAACAGTGTGACTCAGTCTTCGTAAATAAGTTCCATTTGTCAAATCTGAATAACATATAAAGTTTATAAAGTCGTGCATAATCATAACTGCAAAAATAATACCTTACTTTTGAGTTCCAAAAAAATATCATTTGCCTAACATTCAACTGTCATTGACATTTTTATTTTTTGGAAGCATCTTGATATGTTCTTTGAAAGTTGGATAAAAACTGACATGAATAAATGAGTGTGCAAGTGGCACCTGATAAGCAGTGGTAGTACTAAAGTCACACCTTTATCATGTACCAAATGAATGACATTTGCCAGCTCAATATAGCAGTTGCTGACTCAGCAACTTGTGTAGAAAATCAGCACATTCACACCTTTTCTTCTGGGTAGTGCTGTCACGAACAAGGAGGAGGAATAAACAGCAACTTTTACAATTTAGCAATTCCACAAGTTAGTTACTTCATTTGTATACATTCAGAAGAATTAGTTATAGTGTGTTTGAATTGGCATACAAATGTTTTAATCCACATAAGAGTCAAACAGCATGCTAGAAAGATGGGAGGGCAAATGCCTGGTTACCTCAATGAGCCCCAGTAATCAGCAACCTATGTGTAAGCATAATATTTAAACCTAAGTCATCTACTTAAAAATGCCTGAAATCCATTTATAAAATGTTTAACTACATATGAAACGACAATTCACATTTTCTCACATAGCTTCAAAATTCTACCAACTAACCATTATGACAAAGAAGTACTGTTTAGAAAAGTTTTATTATACAAAATATTCCATAACTAAATAACACAGCCAGCTTGTTTCAACTAATTTTTTTTCCTGTTTTATACTGAAGATAGAATGTGCCTATTGTGAAATAAATAAATTTGTTATTCATCTGTACATAAAGATACTGTTCAACATATTCATGGCCCTTCTGTTTCTGAGAAAAAGTTACTGCAGCTGCCAATAACTACATTCACATAATAATTAACAAAAAGTATGTTTAAGTGATAAGAAAATCTTGTGAAAATTATATACCTTTCATGAACAACTTCACTGACAAACAAACACATAACTGGGATCTAAATGCTTCAAATATTGATCAATTTTAAGTCACACACAACACAGATCAACATTCTACATTAATGTTCTGAATACAAATATAATTAAAACAAGAAGCATCCTAGCTCTTTCTACTAGCTATCATGTGAAATCATAACCTAATCACTTCTATCAACTTAATAACATCTCGTACTAAAATGAAGCAACTCTACTTAATGCATTTTATTTCTTAACACATTCTCTTCACCAAATTAAAAAAAATTGGTTTATGATTACACGACTGAAGCATGAATTGGGTATTTGGCATACTCTGCACATTATCAACAGTCTATGTGGAAATTTCTTAGCAACTTTGGGTTGGGTAATTCCCGTTAAATGTTAAAAAAATGGTTTCTACAAAAAAAGATAACTGACCCATATTAGTTCTAACTCCAGTTCTAATGTAATGAGAGAATTTGCTAAAATTAGAGACAACCATTAGCAAACATACTTATCATAATTACAAAATATCATAATTATAAGTAACAAATAAGTAATACTAGATGTAGTAGGCTGAAATTGGAAACACACACACTACATTATTACCAGAATAATACATGTTCTACACTTTGAGAGGAACACCCTAGAGATACAAGTTTCCTTCTTAAAGGGTAGAACCAATTCCATAATATATGTTGGGGAAAATTAAAAAAGGGAAATGATAAGTTGTAGTTGGCAAAAGTTTTCCAAATTATGCTAAACAGAACTTAATTTCTAATGTGTCTTTTTTATTATAACACAAATAAATAAAGGTATTGAAAAACATATTTAAGTGCAGTTAATTCCAGTAATGTAATTATACATATATTATTTCTTTTATATCACAGACATAGTTTAGTATTACAAAATGTAGTTCCTTTTCACAGATCCAAACAACATATATGAAAATCCTTCCAAACTTTGAAATGAGTACATTTAAAAATAACTCTTAGTGTTTCTCTCTGAGTGACCTGGCTATTTCTGGAATAAACCCTCAATATAAATATGATCATAAATACACTCAATTAAGTATCACATATACATGTATATGCAATCTTAGGTTTTATTAAAATAAACTAACATATGCAATAAGAAATAAGTATCTCTTGGTAGTAAATGAAACTGTAAAGCATTCATTCATACAATAACTTTGAGCTTGTAGTAAGTCAGAAATAAATGTGATCTTAAAAAACACAAGAAAGTATGTAAAGGAATAAATCAGTGCCTAATGTGTTTACTTATAAACTTCTAATTTTTATTTTTTTAACATGTTCAATATACAAATATTTTATATCCAGAATAAAAAAATCATTTGTTTAGAAGTAAAGCCATAAACTTTTTGATGAGTAGTTAAGATATATCCAAACAAACATTTATACCCAATGACTGGGAAACTCGATTTTACCCCATGGTTACCAAAGAAGTTTCCTTCTACTCCAACGTGCGGAAATATCCCCCTGTACTTGAAACAATCACCAAACCCGCATGCATGCTGCCATCTGTGTTCTACACTTACATGCCTTAGTGCAAAATTGTCAACCTTGTAGGAACATATAAGATCTATATAAAAACAGTTTCTTTATATCTTGGATATTGTTATCTAAACAATTTGTTTTATATTTTGTGATGATTTGGGCTTCTTACCAACTTAGTTTTGTCTATATCTATACCATTTACTTGAGAACAATTTTTTCTTCAAATTTTCCTCAATTTTTTGTTTAAATCATTATATTTCACTATCCAATATGGTTTTCAGGTTGCACGGTGAAAGGGTTAAAGAAACAGACACATTAAACAAAAACATGTAGATTACAATAATGAGTTTTCACACCTCTTCATCAGAGTCTTCAGCCTTGGAAAGTTGTGGAATGGGCTTCTTTGGAACAACAAGAAAGTGAACAGGAGCCTGTGGATTGATGTCATGGAAAGCCACACACTATTAGAAAAAACAAACAAACAGTATCACAGCTTTTAATTTGAATTTGATGTTTTGTTTGCTTGTTTTGATGGATAAGGAGCAACACCAATAACCTGAATGGTCTTCTACCAGTCTTTATTCTGTTCTTATATTTTAAGCACAGGAGGAAAAAGAAGAAGAAAAACTGTATAAAGGTAACATCTAATAATTGTCATATTGAATAATAAGAAAAAAAAAACATTTATTAACATTAATTAACTCAGAACCTACCACAGAAGCACAACTGGGCACTAATAGAGCAAACCTCTGCAGTACAACCTGTATCTGAAATTATGGTGAGTTCAAGTACAAATGTTTATACCAATGGTCTCAAATTTGGATTACTAAACAGGGTCACTCTAGGTTAATATCCTTTTCTTCAGACATGCTAATGAATGCATTTCCATCCATTAAAAATGCCTGACACAAATCATGATAACCAATATGCATTTACTATACTTAAAGCTAATTTGTTAATTACATGTACAACATTCCAATCAATCCATGTCATTCTGTAATATGTCAGTATAGCTAGAAATATACAAGATTTTAATGCAATCAGGAAACTTTATTAATTTACTAATTATGCTCCTATCAATATCATTTACTAGCGTATAGCCCGTGAAAAATGATGAGGCAAGTACTAAAATCCCCACCCCACAGTATACCCTAACCTCAGATTTCATAGCTAACTGAAATAAATAAATTTTGCAAACTCAATCTTGACCAACAAATATGCAGAATAGTGCAGTTGAGGCAGTCAAACATCAGTAAATTCCATTGTAAGCCAATCAATGTTAAGATAATTCATGAAAAGAATTTATGGAGTATTCATAGTACAATTATTGTTAAAAATCAGTTAGATTAACAACTTCTAAATTAAAAGCCAGTACATTTTAGTAACACTACTTTCCAACAATGACTTTTATGTCATCTTGGTTAACACCAAAGGTATAACCTAATATTGTTGTTAGTCTATATACTGAAAGTACAAAATGAAATTAATAGACAACAAAACTGGAAAAATATTTGTTTATTTCTAAATTTAGAGTCTGTTGATTAAAAAAGTTTGTTTTTTTAAATGTTGGTGATATAACAGAAAATAGCTTAATACAGAAATGTTTAAGTTGAATTGATATTTTTACTTTCATGATACATTTTATGCACTTGGCTCTAGAGTAGGCAATCCCACACTATGTCTTTACTTTAGGTTTATAATACCAACACTCACTACACTTATAAGGTTTCATGACACACACCCTCACGGCCCTCCTTTCACCCCTGTCACTAGAATTACAATGGGCAGACAGTAATCGAACTATTCTATCTGTAATTGCATTTATGACTCCTCCTTTTCGAGAAATCAAGTATGACATAATGTAACTAAGAAAAACCAAAGATACCCAAAAACAGTCACCTAAGTCACACTACTTATAACAAAAGTCTAGTCTGGCTGGATTCCATTAACAACTTTACTTTTTCTCCCCCACCTACCCTGCAATCCTATCCTATGTAAACAAATTATCATGCTAAGAACAAGTAATATCAACCCTATGTGCACAGGGGGATTCATAGTGTGCATGCCATGACCTCTTACAGAATGCCATTCAATATGTATATGGTTTCAGAGTTACCAACTATTCATTTTATCCAACACTGCTGAATTAGTGACAGTTAATAGAAAAGGAGAGTAAATACCAGATACATGCATTTCAAAGGCTCTAGAAATTATGCAAATACAATATGCAAACTGTAAAATAGACAAAAGTATTTTTAGCCTTCACATAAACATCATCTTGTCAGAGTCTGAATCAGACTGATGTTGTTGATTCACGGACATATCCCAAGGCGCATATACTTTAGTAACATCTTACTTTTTGTGTACAACAGACTTATACATTTTACTTAAAGCTTGTTATAATTTGTGTTGACACACAAAGCAAATTTGGAATGACAGTCAACATTCTTTCTCCAATACGAGGTTAGTCCAATTTGACCAAGCCCATGCACATCCTTTCTAGATGGATCATGGTTAAAAGGCCATGTCATCTTGTTTGTTGACTCACATTCAAAATTTTAATGAACTACTATTTCACGAATTTATGAGATTAACCAATCGAAAGCTCAGAATATCCTCCTAGTGGCTTTCTCAGCCATTTAAAAGTGTTAGAACATCATCTTGTTCTTTCGATCCAAGATTCCAATGAGGTAAGTGGTGTCTTCAGTCTGCTCAAAATTTCATATATTTTTAGACTGAAATACAGCTTAAATATTAAGCTTGATAAATTATAGTGGAATTTAGTAATTTAAAATTTTTGGTTATTCAACTGTATATATAAAACATAAGAAAATCATTTCATTTCATATCCTCCATGTGCAAAATTTTTAAAAGCTTAGCAACCTACGTCAAGCAGCAACCATGTACAAAGGTTGTAACTAGAAGAGATAATTGTTTACTTCACTTCTATGTTTTAAGAAAAATAAGTTTAAGAACTTTTTTCTAAATAGTAATAACCTATATACATATATAATGTATAATAATTGAAATGTGACTGTATTTTACAAAATACTAGTCTACTAAAACACGGCCAAGACAGGTCACTTTTATATTATTGGATACAGTAACATGAGTGCACATGTGCTGCATCATTGTAACTTCTGCATTGTTTGCCAGGCATGGCTGAAAGGTCAATATAATAAAAATAAGAAATATACATAGATGTATAACATTATGAGATTTAAGCTATTTAGTCTAAGCATTTATGTTTTTGTGTTATAACCTGTTGTCATTCTAGAACAAAAGAGGCATAATTTATATTTATTTCCTAATTTTTTATGGTAGTTATGAAATCGGTCATATCTACCAAACCCAGACAGAGATTCGTTAGTGAAAATAACAGATAAAATAAAGTTTTTCTTAAGAAATGTCTGATAACTATCTGAACATTATAAAGATTTTGCATGTGATATTTGAAAATTTTCTGATGCATAAAAGTATTTTTAATCTTAAAATGAAAATGGCTTTGAATGTTGGATAGGCAATATGTGAAAAGAAATAAAAAGGCATGAGAAAAACATTGCTTAATAAACCTTAAGACTTCACAAGAAAATCTGATATTTTGCATTTGAAAGCATTGCAAAGTTTACTGATAATCTGCCAAATTTCGTTAACATACGCTTACTAGCTTAAAAGTTATAGCATGAAAACTATAACAAGCACAAAACAGTTACAAAGTCAGTCCCAGGAACCGAGCATGTGTTGAAAGAGTTAAACTAACTGATTTTTAGCAAAAGTTGTTCACAATTTTATATGTTTTGTAGTAATAAAACTGCTGTATATGTAACTCTTACTGCAGTTAAATTAAGATACTCATTTTCCTGCTAGACCACTACAGAAGCCATGTTGTATGTTTATTAAAATGAAAAATTTTAAATCAAATTACATTATTACTGGAATATCACTGTACTATGTATATAATGTTTTAAGAAGTTCAGTTATTCTTACTGTAAATATATACTTATTTCAAAGAATATAAACTAATGAATGCACTTATTTTTTTCTAAAGTTTTATGTCAATTATACAGAGTACTATTCAAGAAATTTTAGTGTTTTTCCTTTGATATTTGCACCCTACACTGTACATTACTTACAATTAATAATGTATTTTAAGTCTGGATTCAGACTAGGTTTGTAGTGCTGACCTTTTTCTCAATCTCAGATGCCTAAACCCTTTTTTCACTCAGAGGCACTTTACATTAAATGGATAAATACTAAATGTGAAATACAAATAATCATAAGAATACTTTCAAATCCTGAGCAATTCTAAAGAACTTAAATACAGTAAATAGTTAACTAATAAAATGTCCCTTTAAAAATCATATTGAGACAGTTTTATATTTGCTAGTTTTGTCATTCAACAAATGCTAACCTAATGTAGGCTTTAAGAAACATTAAGTGTTTGTCACACTGAATAAAATGAAATAGGCACATAGTTACTACCAAACATAGCTGCTTTAGCATTGTTATTATTATTATGGGCAATAATTGTAAGATTATAACATTTTTAATGAAAGTACCTTTTCAGGTACCTAATATTGGTTACTTGTGGCTTAAAAGAATAAAAAATCAGTCAATATGCAGTCATGAATGTGGAATGTGGTTGTTTGGTGATGAAGGATTAAAATTATGGCTACAGAATGTGTATAAATTGTGTGAATTTGAAGATAGTATCCTGATTTTACATTTGGAAAATAATGATTGTCTTTCATAGTTAGATAATTGTAGTTGGGCTTTCTTTGCAATAAATATATCAAACTATATCACTTTTTGTGTGCAGAAGCTAGTAACAAATAATAATTCTTAAACTTAAAATAACATTTTTGACTAATATTACAACATAAAAAACGAAACTATCGGAAGAACTAAAACTATTATTTTCAGTAACATATATTTATATTTTGAAAATTCCTTTTGTTATCTATAACACTGACAGTTCAACATTACTTATATACTACTTAAATTCACAATTAATAACATTTTTAATATCTTGTATAACTATGCAATTAATAACATACAACCAAGTTCAGGCATATCATTTCACTGTTTTTGTTGTTTTATTTAGTTAGTGTAACATATTTTAATTTTTATATTGATAACTTTACTTCAGATATACTAACTTAGTATTTACTATATGTATCTCAAACCTCTTGGTTACATCTCGTTCACTTAGCCCAAACATCGAGCAAAGTGTAGTAACTTAAAGTTAACTTAATGTAACTTCTAAATTTATAAATTGTAGTGCCATTGTAGAAAATGTAACTTGTAACGTCAATTCTATTTCTAGCCCAAAATTCTGGCTGCATCTGGATCTGCTTTTATAATTTTTTCATTGATCTGATCACAAAAGAATTTATTAAAGCAGTTTTAAATTATAAGGCATGAATTTTGGTCTAGATTAATTCCACGCCATGTAAACATCGTAATTTATATATTAAACGGCTAATGTTAACAGCTTATCTTAGTAGTATCATGCATTTTTTTCCATTTTGACAAAATGTTAAAGGATTTTTCCTGCAAAGTGCAGTGCAGAGAACAAAAGGGACCATGGATCATGTTCTTTGTCATATTATTATTAACCTCCTTTAGTTTAAATGTTTAATTTTAATTTCATTGCATCGGTATAAGTTTAGGCCTAGAAATTAAAAAACGCAAAACACGTTGCATTACATTAGGCTAACACAATTTTTCCGTTTAGAATCTTATTGTTTCACAAGGATACTATAATAAATATTTTCACCTTGTCGTCTTGATAAGCAAAATCAGCTGGTATCTCTCCACGTATGATCTTTCCAAAAATCGTATCACCGCCTTCTAACGCCATACTTAGAGTAATTACACAAACGAAACTATAAAGTTTAAACTTTGAGTACATTAGCGACCTCTTTAGTCCAGACCATAGGACATTCAGAAGGGTTTTTTTTATTCTTCTTATTATTAAATTTCAGGCAAAGCTATTTGCGATAACCGTTGCTAATTTGAAAGAGATGGATAAGCGGGAAGGCAGCTAGCCAATACCACCCACCGACAACTCTTGGGCTACTCTTTTTATCAATGAAAAGTGTGAAGTTCAAAGTAGAGCAGCCTCGTTTTAATTTCGGCTTGTTACTTCGGTGACATTTTTTTTAATACAAGTATGTTTGAGAGTGTGAATTAAAGTCCCTAAGAATGGCCGGTTATCGTCTAACAACAAACTTGTAATAAGGTCCTTATAGCCTGTTGGTAGTGGATCGTTTTTCAATATTTTTTATGTTTGTCTGGATGTATTTGTGTGAAAATCCCTGAAAAGGGCCAGTTATTGGCTGTTGACAATCTTGTTGTCAGGTCCTGAAAAAGATGACAATTCAAACAGTGTGGAAAGAACGGAGTCAAAAGTATAGTAAATGTAAAAGTGAATTTTTTGTTAAGTGTTCTGGAGGATGTAATCAGTTAATTAATATAACAGAGTTTATAGTTTTTGCTTTTGAAGAGTATGCCAAGACAAATATAATTTAATCGTGTTTTGAAGGAGGGAAATAAATGTCTGCAATTTATCAATGTAGAAATATGGGATATAAACTGGAAAATGGAATGAGATTCTCAGAACTCAATTTTGAGAAATTGGGCTTGCTTTTGTTTTGTGTGTGTGCGTGTGTTGTTAAGCACAAAACTACACAATGGACTATTCGTGTGCTGCCTACTGCAGGCATCGAACCCCGAGTTTTAGCGTTATAAGCTCTCAGACTTACCGGTAAGGCACCAGAGGACGTAGGATTTGGAGCCGTTTGAAAGAGTTGTTGGCCAAGGAACAAATGATCATGCATTGTATTCTGCTCTAGGTCTGATATGGGATTTGTAAATATGGAGAAGAAAGGTCACGTCCCCAAATGGGTCAGCGGGCAATTTATGGGTTTAGAATGCTAAAATTCGGGCTAATTTCCGGTAGTGGACAGAGCGTAACTAATTTATTTTTAGGTTTGAATTAAAACAAACAAACATACGAAAAAGTGGAAGAATCGCAACCACGTTTGGAGCCCCGGTCACGCAAAGGAAGGAGATGCAATAACTACATTTTGCGATAATATAATTAATATAAGAGTGCCGTGAAAGTTTTGTGTGAAAAATAATACCTTAACTGTCTGTAGTCTTTGCATTTATTTATTTATATACTTTTTTTGCCTTTAACCCTGAAGAGGACAGGTCCAATTGTCGAAAGGGTTGAATTTGTTGGATTTAGTTGAACTTAATTTATCAACAAGGTGCAAAGCGATATTAAAGAAGTACAAAGGAAATCAATAAACTACAGGATCATAATGACACCATGATCACTACCTAAAGAGAGTCGTATGAAATCTATGAAAAAGCATTAGCTTCAGGATCAAATATATAGAAACTGAATTAGCAAAAAGAAGGATCAAACTAGCCACACTACGTTCTCTAATTTATTTTTCCTTCTCAGAGTTGAAATACTTGATGAAATTGCGTGAAATGTAGTAAAAACATAATAAATTGTATCTACTTTCAGCTTTAAAAACATATAATTTGGTTAACTTTTCAATCTTTTTTTTTTTTTTTTACATATTATGAAATTTCCAAACGTTTATTCTGTCACACGTTTTCGAAAAATAACATTTAAAATGCGTCGTCTCAAAATTTATTATTTTTATTGTTATTCAGAAAGTTTTGTTTTATATAGAATCGAGGAGAAAAGCAAAAATAAAAATGAAGTTTCACAAATATTTTATTTATTAATGATCATGGTTACGCCAGTAAAGGCATCATGGGCGTTAATAATTGCCTTTGTTCTTTCCCGTCAATTCAGTTTATGGAGTTTCATCAAGTACCTACGGTTTCAAGTATCAATTATATTTCATTTTATATTTGTTTGTTTGTTGTTAAGCACAAAGCTACACAATAGGCTATCTGTGATCTGCCTACCACGAGTATTGAAACCCGATTCTTAACGGTGTGAGCCCCCAAACTTACTACTGAGCAAATGGGCCAGTGGGAGACTTCGTTTTATATACCTAATCAGTTTCAAATCGATTGATAAACAGTAATGTATTTATTTTAATAATTGATTTTTCTAATTGCAGTAGTCATCATTTATGGTTATAAATTGTACAAAACACGGCAAAAATAGACAAAAATTTATCAATGACATATGATCTAACCTGACCGAATGGCATCATGTCAGATTATGTTACAGTATTTTTGCTAACAATAATCTGGTTGAGATCAGTTTATTTCTAATAAATATAATTGATTATACTTGTCAGAAGAAATAAGGTTAGATCTATTACACTTTTAAACACTACATTCTTTATCTAGCCCCTTCGAGATTTTCAAGAATTAGAAGAGTATATAATAATGATATTCTAACCATACTATATTGGTCATACCCATTGCAGACGACGAATTTCGCTCAATCCAGAGCTCTTCAGGCTGACTGGGATACAACGAACACAGTAGTAGTGGTTGGATTATTATTTATTTAGGCCATTTATTACAATTGATTAACTAATTATCAAGTGATAAATATTAATTAATTTATCAAGTCTTCAAACTATTTTTTAATTTAACAAATACTCATTATCATGATACTAGTATTAATGCTACTTTATTAACCTATTCGTGTAAGTATATGGTGTTCAAAATAAATTTTATTCTGTCTTGATAAACAATCAACTACGCTACTTGGTAGTTTTGTGTTAATTTCAATATTAATACTTGCATTGCGTTTATACTGTACCTTCTTTTTACCACAGACTTGTACAAACTTATACTGACATTTGTCGCTTTATTATTAATAATATAACAGACACAATAGAATCAACTTAGACCAACACAATATTGTCAATTATTTTTTTATTTTTTGTTGTTGTTGTTGTTGTTTTTACAATATCAATTCTACAAAGAAGTTTTTCTGAAATTTGTATGATAA